AACTAAATATGGTTTTATATTATCAACTTATCCATGGCGCTACAATATTGCACCAACAAAATTGCGTGGTGTAACGAGGATTATTACAATTTTTTGATGTAATCAATATATTTTTAAAAAWTTTTTTAGATTTTTAAACTTTTTTCGAATACATAGTAAAATTATATTATACGAGTTTGGACTGACACTGAAAATGAAGTTATAATTGTGTGACAGCCGGCAGTGAACGTGTTAAGTTTCTAAATTAAAATCAAGTACTCATATTTAGTTACAAAGAATTTTTATCACTTCAAGAACTAGTATATTTAAATTTGATTTATTTCAATAACAATAATGGAGTCAACCTACATATTTTATAGTCAATATTTTCTGTTTTAATTACATATTGAATGAATATAAAATGAATATACCTTTTAAATTGCTTCGTTCAATTGGACCAACTACCATTTCTAAATCATCAATGGAAACTGATTCATAAAATGAATCCAAGCTAGATACAAAATCGGCCACGGGATTCGTATAAGCCATAGTTTCTACAATCTGAAAATGTAACTATAATACGTTAAATAAAATATATAATTAACAACATACTATTTCTGTAAAGCCAGTACAATATTATGCAATGAATAATAATATTAAAACATGCATAATAATGCATAATAAATGTATAGTTACAATCCTTGTTTTTAATGTAATTTTTAACTATAATAAATATCATATATAAGTTATATGATAATATATTATTATAAATGCGTATATGTACTATGACATACTAAATACCAAATACAAATATTTTTCAACATAAAGTTATAAAAAAAAGAATTTAACATTTTGCTTTAATTTGTTTATTTTCTATAATTACCTTTTTTAACTCATTAACATATTCTTGCATTGCATTCTCTTTTGACATATCTCCTAAATCATACCAAGCTTGCCATTTTGCTCGATTGATAACATCCCAAAAACTGGGTTTGGGCTGATTGTTAGGTCCTATTGTTGCTTGTTTGAAATATGCATAAAAACGAAGCAGGAGATCCCTAGATGGTTGGTATGCACCTGAAAACATTTAAATTATAATAAACAAATACTTAAAAAGTACACAATCATTAATGGAAAAAAATGTGGGTTTTCATATTTAAAATACGTCCAACGACGATAAAAATGTAGAACATATGATCGTAGATTGATATTGACTTAAAGATCAACATTTTTAAAGGCACGATATTATTGTAATCTAATTTCATGAATTACAATTCTTAAAAAAAGTAATTTAAATTATAATTTTGTAAATATTTCTTAAGAACTAATTCATCAATATTTACAAACAGATTTATTAACATTTTATAAATTACCAACCTAATACAAGGCGATTCTTTAATTGTTGAACACTCATTATTTCAAAAAGCATAGACTTTTTTCTAAAACTTTTATATGCATGCTTTTCTACAATCATATAAAATTCTAATGTTTTTCACTCTTATATTTCATAGTTATGCTGTGATATTTACTGATTATGTACAGCAAATTTACACATAAACACCTAACAAAATCTCCCAACTTAGAGCAGTGTTATCTCATCAACGGATCAACAAAAAATTAAAATTTGAGCGTGAAAATTCATAAAATAGCCTTATTTAGTTTATTCATTTTTAGTATGGGTTCCCATTTGAAAATCAAAAGTTGATAGTCGTTCGCCTAATAAATATAAGGGTGAAAATATTAGGCTTTAAAAAATATGTTGATAAGTATGACTAAAATTTTAAAAAAAAATTTGGAAAAATGTCAATACTTTTTGAAATAGTGTTTGTTCAACAATAAAAGAATCACCCTGTGTAACATAATTTAAATTTTAGTATATTTCTAGTTTTGGTTTTCATAYAACATATTATTCGAATAGTAACATAGTAGATAATAGCAGTAAATTATATGCCATGAGGAAGCACAACATTTTTTTTGTTACAGTTATTGTCATTATTTATCAAATTATTTAAATTATTACTTATAAGTTATAAATTATATAGGTAAGGTATAATTATTTATAACAATATAGGTATTTATATTTTTTTGTAGTATAGTTATTAAATTCGTATTATTATTATTAATAATAGTGGCCATAGAAAATGATTTTACTGTCCATATGTGGAGAACCATAAATGAAGAAACAATTTTTTTTTTATGAAACATCTTTAGACACRAAAATATTATGGCAAGAGATCTTAATGGCGAATAGGATGACAAAAAATAAATGATAATATACAATTTGTAACCAATGACAACCATTTAAAGACACAAAAAAAAATAATAATCTCTACAACATTTTCACATTTGACATTTGTAGTTTTGCACCAAACAATTCAATCTTTATGCTGAATATATTATTATAAAAATCAGAATAATAATAAAAAAATATTTAATTTATTAACAAAACTATGCTTTGATTTATTTTACTCCATAATTACTGGTTTTCTTTAATTATAAATACTTTCAATAATTATCAATGTTTATGTTTAATATCTGCCAAGCATACAGTTACAGTAACAGATTAAGAGGACGCCAAACCCGCATGTGTTGTCTCCGTTGTACAAGTACGTAGCATAACAAATTTTACGCTTAGCAGATCACGTTTATCTCCGTTATTTTAAAAAATAAAAATAAAATGTAGAAATGTGTAAAATGTAGAGTGAATTGACCTATTATAAAAATTAAAGGCAAGATTATTACCGAGTGCATCTCATAGGCTTTTTATTATATTTTAATTTTAAGCCGAGTTATGAGTATTTTTAGATATAAAAATTATTTACAATTTTAAAATACTCATTACTTGCTTTAA